TGTAGAAAATAAGGTTAAAAAAAGTCAAACACATTACTAATTTATTAAAGCATGTATACAAAAACCAATTATATGCTGGGGCGCCTGGGTGGCTCAGTTGTTGGGCATCTGCCTTCGGCTCGGGTCGTGGTCCCAGGGTCCTGGGATCAAGCCCCGCATCGGGCTCCCTACTCGGCGGGAAGCCTGCTTCTCCCTCTCCCTCTCCCCCTGCTTGTGTTCCCTCTCTCGCTGTGTCTTTCTCTGTCAAATAAATAAATAAAATCTTAAAAAAAAACAACAACCAATTATATGCTTTTTAGCTACTGAGTGAATGTGTCATGTCACATCCTATCTATTTAGAGTGCCACAAGGTTCACATCTTTCAGTGCAGTTATATCTTCTTAAACAGTAAAAAAAAAAAAAAAAATACAAAAATAAGAAAACTGTTTCTTTTCAGGTATGCAATAGAATACATAAAACACTCATGTTAAAAATAAAACTTTTTCATTCTTTTATCATGTTAAACAAAAACCAAGTCATTTAAGTCATTTTATCAAATTTTTATTCACATTTTTTATTTATATAAATTGTTCAGCAAAATATGCTGAAATCATTAGGTTCCAGTATTTTGGCTGATCAAGCCCTGTCATGATTTAAATGGGGTACAAATTTTTTTTTTTAAAGATTTTATTTATTTATTTGACAGAGAGAGAGGCAGCAAGAGAGGGAACACAAGCAGGGGGAGTGGGAGAGGGAGAAGCAGGCTCCCCGCAGAGCAGGGAGCCCGATGCGGGACTCGATCCCAGGACCGTGGGATCATGACCTGAGATGAAGGCAGTCGCTTAACCAACTGAGCCACCCAGGCGCCCTGGGGTACAAAATTTTATCTTCCTCTTTTTAAAATGATTGCAACACAGAATTTAGCAACATCCTAAGGAATGTAAGAGGAAAGAAGATAAACTTCATCAATAAACAGACCATTTCTTGACTACCGCCTGAGAGATGCACTGTGAGCATCTCATCCCTTCCCCTGTTCCCCCACCCCCCAGGAAAGAAAGAAAAGAGGGACATGGTAAGGGATATATTCTTTCCAAAGAGAAGACAAGGCTCTGTCATTTGTCTTTCTCTTCTGTCATAGTCCTTGTAGGGTCAGAGTGCTTTTGGGGAGGGTGGGAGGAGAGGGGTGACATAGAACAGGAAAGACCCAAAGACAGTTTGCACATGGAGGTCTATATTCTAACCACCTGAAGGCATAGATGGCCTCTCTTCACTCACAAAGGAAAATGTTTCAGAGTACTACACTACCTGCATTCTAGCTGAGTTAGTAGGAAATCATGGGAATCAAGGAACAGCATGAGCATGACACTGTGAGGCTGACTCAATGATTATTCCTAAGAAGAGCAAAACTTCCACATTACAATATTAACCTTTGGAGGGAGAAAAGCAGGGAAAGAACTGTGCAGATCAAATGAGATAAAACACTCTCGAGAGCTACAAAGTTCTATATAAATCTATGGTGGTGTTAGATTGTGACTCTCTGCCAATTTCCTTTCCTTGGTTGTAAAAAGAGAGGTTTCTTTTATGGTGACAGTTTAGGAGTTGTGCTTGAAAATCATACACATTGAAAATCATACACATTCTCACAATTTATCAGACAGGCTGATCCTTATTATGGCTCTTCCCTTTATGGAAATTAGACTAAACGGAAGTCAATTCTTTAAAGTCTTTTAAGAAACAACCAAGCTGGGGATGCCTGGGTGACTCAATTGGTTAAACATCTGCCTTCGGCTCGGGTGGTGATCCCATGATCCCGGGATCAAGCCCCGCATCAGGCTCCCTGCTCAGCGAAGAGCCTGCTTCTCCCTCTCCCTCTGCCTGCTGCTCTGCCTACTTGTGCTCTCTCTCTGTCAAATAAATAAAATCTTTAAAAAAAAAAGAAAAGAAACAACCAAGATGAGAACTTTTATAGTAAAGACAGCACTTGGAGGCTCCAAGGAGAAGAAGGTATTCAAGAACTGTTTTCTGTAATAGTACAAGAAGGGAATGAGAAGAAAACGGACCATTAAAACTTAGACATGAAGAGTCTAAGTTTTCTTTACCTGGTTTCATCTTTCTACTACAACACTTAGGAGCACTACAAAGAGACCATCCCAAATACGGTTCATCAAAAAGCAGGACAACCCAGGGTGTGTGCAAATGTCCTCTAGTAGCCTTCTTCCTCTACCATGTACTAGGGAGAAGATTTAAAAATAAGTTTGGCTCTACGGTGCACCTCCAAGCTTCCTATTCTCTTTGCATTGTTTCAAGGTTGGGAAAAACTTCAAAGCACAGGATTTTCCAAGCAGAATGAAAGAAGTAAATTAGTACTTATTCTTTTAAATTCATTCAATTTTCTCAGTTACCTTTCTATCACACCTTCAGGTTGGAATAGTATTACTCAGCACCCCATGGACAACTACAATTCTGTGCAAAAATACCAGCTGGAGAAATAACCACCTGATCCCTGGTCTCATATAATCACAAAGCATTTGAGAACTAAAATAGAATAGTATTTTAAAAATTAGGTTTCCGGGGTGCCTGGGTGGCTCAGTTCGTTAGGCGTCTGCCTCCGGCTCAGGTCATGATCCCAGGGTCCTGGGATCGAGTCCTGCATCAGGCTCCCTGCTCAGCAGGGAGTCTGTTTCTCCCTCTCACTCTCCCTCTATGCTCTCTCTCTCAAATAAATAAAATCTTTAAAAAAATTATAAAAATTAGGTTTCCTATCTTTCAATCACTTGAACTGATAAATCAGAAATCTGGTTAAACTGCTCTTTTCTGATTTGTAATTCAAACATCATAATAATGGTTCTTTTTGGTTATGTACTTTTTATATATAATCAAGATTGTTTAGTACTGTGCCCAAACAAGAATAAGGAAGGCACATGGGATGTGTTAAGGATTCCCCTGTAAATGTAGCACATTCAGGTGTGTGTATGTTTTGGGACTCAGATTTGTGAGGTTTCCAGATAAGTGATCTCCTTATCCTTTAATAGGATGTATTCCTTTAATCTTTACTATTTTTTATTAGTAGCAGTAATAAATAGTAATTTTAAGTGTTTTCTCTAAGGGAAATTTTACAATTTCTGATAGAATTAATGAGTTTCAGAAAATTCTGGTAATAAAAAATGGATGATAGGATTTACAAAAAATTCTATAGCTAACTGCTTTCCCACTTAAAATGAGCTGTGGAAATTATCCTGGAATAGAAAACATTTCCAGATCAAGAAATGTACACATTTACATGTTACTTTAGGGGATACACACCACTTTTATTTATATGTGGTATTTTATAAAGTGCTTTCCTCAAACTGATTAATAAATTTTTTCAAGATTTCATTTATTTGACAGAGAGAGAGGGCAAGCACACAAACAGGGGGAGGGGCAGGTAGAGGGACAGGGAGAAGCAGGCTCCCCACTGAGCAGGGAGCCCGACGTGGGGCTTGATCCCAGGACCCTAAGATCATGACCTGAGCTGAAGGCAGATGTTTAACCGACTGAGCCACCCAGGCACCCCCTGACCCAACTTAATCTTTTTAAAATAAGCACATATCTGCTTATAAACCTAAATACATTTCAAACACCACCTGACTTTAGTTCCACCTTCTCATTTCATATATGAAGAAATGAGAAGACATGCAGATGGCCAGCAGACACATGAAAGGTGCTCAACATCACTTTCAGGGAAACGCAAATCAAAACCACAATGGGCTATCACCTCACACCTGTTAGAATGGTCATTAGCAAAAAGACAAGAGATAACAAGTATTGGCAAGGATGTGGAGAAAAGACAACCCTTGTGCATTGTAGGTGGGAATGTAAATTGGTGCAGCCACTATGGAAAACAGTATGAGGGGGTTCCTCAAAAAATTAAAAATACTACTACCATATGATCCAGCAGTTCCCCTTCTGGATATTTATCTGAAAGAAATGAAAACACTAACCCAAAAAGATATATGCACTCCGATGTCCACTGGAGCACTATTTACAATAGTTAGGACATGAAAGCAACCTAAGTACCCACTGATGAATGAATGAACAAATAAAATGTGGTATATATACAATGGAATATTATTCAGTTGTAACAAAATGAAATCTTGCCATTTGTGACATTATGAATATATCTTGAGGGCATTATGATAAGTGAAAGAAGTCAAAGACAAATACTGTATCATCTCATTTATATGTAGAATCTTAAAAGAAAGAAAAAAATCACAGAGAACTGATGGGTGGTTGCCAGGGGCTAGGGGTGGGGAAAATGGGTGAAGTCAAAAGATACTAACTTCCAAGTCATGAGGATGTACCGTACAGCATGATGACTATAGTTGATAATACTGTACTATATATTTGAAAGTTGCTAAGAGACAAAATTTTACAAGTTATCACAAGGAAAAAAAAAAATTGAAACTATATGGTGATGGACATTAACCAGACCAGACTTAGACTTATTGTGGTGATCATTTCACAAAACATATATATATCAAGTCATTATGTTGTAGAACTGGAACTAATGTAATGTTATATGTTAATTATATATCGATAAAAAAAAAAGAAAAAGAAACTTGAGGCCCAGATAGAAAATCATCCAGGTTCTGAATCTGACAGAAACAAAATCCAAGCCCCCATACTCCCAAGTTAATGTTCTATTATACCATGCCAGTTCCTTTGTCTGTTTCACATTTCTTTAAACTGAATATGTGTTGCTTTGTTTATCTTTATGCTCACTTAACAAATGAGAAGGAAAGTAAAGACTAAGGTACAAGATTTTAAGTTTTTCATGTTAATCAGCCTCAAATATTTCTTAACTTTTGTTTATCAAAACAGTACTTTGGGAGTTTATACCCTTTATGCTTAGTAACTTGCAGGAAAAAGGAAAAGCGAAACAAACTGCGCCTACGGACAAGGACACTGTCCTATGCTTACTGCAAGTGTGCTTACTCCTAACATCCACTGGAGGGAAGCAAACACTAGACTTTGAGCTTTACCTGCATTGGTGTTTCATTTTCTTGTCGAAACTCTTCAAGTTGCTGCTGTTGCCAAGGAGCTAAACTGTAAGAGTCCTCTGTAGTTCTACTTTCCAAAGGGTTTGTCCGCAACTGCTCTGTAAGCCACATCTGCGTCCTCACAGAAGGCTGAATGGGAACTCCACCTACTGCCTGTTGACCCAGCATTAAATATTTCGGAGGTTCAAAGGCCTCTGCACTTGTCACAATGGGCTTGCTTTCAGGTAAGGCACTGTATGTCATGTCTAAGGTCGGTCTCCTAAGAGTGCAGGAAGAAGCTCTAAAGTCCTCTTTGCTACAGCTCTCGAATTTATATTTGCAGTCCAGAGTTGATGATCGTTTTTTATTTATTTCCTTGTCCTCTAGCTTAAGCATCTCCATACTATCATGTAAGCAGCTAGGCCCAATTGTTCTTAGTTGCGACGTTAAAACCTTGGCTCTCCCTGTCTTTTCCAAACCACTCCTTGACTCATCAGCATGTACGATGCCACCCTGGCCACAGTTATCCGGGGCAGTGAGTTTGGATAAAGATGACCATTTCCGGAGAGGCCGGAAGTCCTTCATGTCTAGTGAAGAGTCCTGTTCTCCCCTACTATGGTTTCCCAATGTTTGCATGAGGCTTGTACTCCATTTTGAGCCTTCTGATGTCAATGATTCCCTATGTCTGGAAACTGAAGCACTGGAGTTAGACGGCATGACATGGGCAGTAGGAAGAGTAACCAATGATCGACTAGGCTTAAAAGATAATGTGCCACTTGAAGTTGAATGATCTGGAAAGAGAAAAGAATGTCAAATTAGTTGTAATTAACAGGAAAAAAATCTGCTAAATGCAAAATGCCAAAACAAATATCTGAATATGGTTTCCAAGCACAAGGTTTTCAAAGACACTTTATCAAAATGAGGTTATTATTATTAGGTTTATCTGAAACAAACCAAACATATTTTCAAATATTATTTTCTAAAAATGAATACATAATGAAATATATGCCCATTTACTATCTACTTACAGGTAACAAGTGACTAGAAAACAGGTTTATAGTCACCCTATTTAACCTAATTATTGTTACTTTTTTTTTTTTTAAGATTTTTTATTTATTTATTTGACAGAGAGACACAGCGAGAGAGGGAACACAAGCAGGGGGAGTGGGAGAGGGAGAAGGAGGCTCCCCGCAGAGCAGGGAGCCCGATGCGGGACTCGATCCCAGGACCCTGGGATCATGACCCGAGCCGAAGGCAGTCGCTTAACCAACTGAGCCACCCAGGCGCCCTATTGTTACTTTTTTAAAAAGAAAAATCCATCTCCCCACTGAGAGGTCTTCCTCATCATCCAGCACTGAAGCCTCAGAAATAACTCTACTAGAAAATGGTATTTTTCACAGCCTTTCCTAAACTGTGGAAATCTATGCCGTACTCAAACATTTTAGCACCTTCCCAAACTCTAATTCAAATCAGAAATATGGGTAAAGGAGATCCTACAATAATGGAATATAATTAGAAAGCACTCTAGCAATATGCTTGTGGATACAGAGTAGTTCCTCCATTCCCAGTCTCCCTTAAATGGCAACATCAATGGTACGTTTCCCAAGCTAGAACTCCTGGAGTCTACTTAGACTGCTACCTTTCTCTGCAGTCACTAAATCCTCAAGTTGTAAGCCTTCACTTCCAAAATGATGACACAGCTATTGCCTTAGGTCAACCCTTTACATATTATTCTGCTACACACAGTAACAGTTTTAGTAGGCTCCATGGAAACCCAAAGCACAAATAAAGACCTCTCTATTCCATGAACTTACCATCAAGTGACAAATTATCATCAAATGTGTCAAATCAGAATTAAAGATTATCAATTTTTATCAGAGGACACTTCAAAAGGGGATAGCAATTGAAAGTGTGAGGGGAGAAGAGGTGAGTGGTGAAAGGCAACTTTCAGTTTATTCTATATTTTTCCATACTGTTTGGCTCATACTAGAATATATTTAATACTTCTTGTGAGCTTTGATGTTGTCTTAAAGAAATAAAATATTGTGAAAAGAAATACTGAAAAGGCCATAAGGAAATTCAGATAAGAAAGAGCCAGGTAGACTAATTCAAACAATGAAATTCCAGTACAGAATTTATTCACTTGGAGATTTAAAAAAAAAAAAAAATTACAGATGGAAGAATACAAGCAAAAGTATTATAGTGAACATTTATTTATCATGTTCAAGCTTCTCATCGGCTTCTGAAGAATCTTTTTATACTCAGGATAATTCCCACATTATAAGTCTAATCTCCCAAAATTAATTTTAGACCTCAGATTCCCAACATGACTCTGCAATTATGGTGTAGACATTCAGAAACACCTGCACAAGATTTCAGTTTGGAAATGAGTCACATAAGAAAATGGCTCTGGGGGCGCCTGGGTGGCTCAGTCGTTAAGTGTCTGCCTTTGGCTCAGGTCATGATCCCAGGGTCCTGGGATCGAGCCCCGCATCGGGCTCCCTGCTCCGCGGGAAGCCTGCTTCTCCCTCTCCTACTCCCCCTGCTCGTGTTCCCGCTCTCGCTCGCTCCCTCTGTCAAATAAATAAAAAAATCTTTAAAAAAAAAAAAAAGAAAAAAAAGAAAATGGCTCTGTATGCAGCTACCATTTCTGGCTGGTACAAGCAACAGCAGAGGCATTAGCCTTCCACAATGGCAGCACCAGGGGCAGCCAATCAAGTTCTGGCCCAGAGTAGCAGCAATTGGGCAGCACTGGTACATGGTGGGGCTGGAGAAGTAACAGTTCTCAAAGGTGATCTGAGGTATACTACCTGTAAGTTTAACCGTAAGCCTGGTTCTCCAACCTTCCCCCAAAATTCTATGAGATACTAAACACCCTTAAATAAATTCTTCATTAAGCTGATTAAGAACACTAACTGATCCAAATATGAAAGCCAGAAGAATGCAACTCCCAAAGAAAAAACCAAATTATCCCGTTTATCTGCTGTATGTAGTATCAAGAAAAGTTGCTCAAAGGAGGAAATTAACATTTAGAAAAGTTAAGTATATTGCTCAAGATCATATAGCAAGTAAGGTCAACTACTGCAAGCCTGTACTTCACACCAGTGGCTGTGCCCTAGGGTGGCAAGGGCAGGACTTTAGTCCTGCTCCACACACCCAAACTCCATCAGTCCCAATACACAATCTAAAAAGAGAAAAACCTTTCACTGGTTATGCAAACTCTGCTTCAGAAAAATGTGCCTGATTCTCTCACCCCCTTTCCAACCAGTCTGCCACATCTGAGGTTATACCATATAGAAATTCAAGAAATGACAGTGCTTTGCATTATGTCATACTGCATGCAAACAAAGTGCCATGGAAATCTGAACCTGAACCACTGGATTCAAAGACTAGTATACTAGATATTGTATCAAGGCGAGCAGACTGAATTTTTTAAGCAGAAAAAATTTCCTCAAGGTAATTCTTTTTTTTTTTTAAGATTTTATTTATTGGACAGCAAAAGAGACAGCGAGAGAGGGAATACTAGCAGTGGGGGCTGGGAGAGGGAGAAACAGGCCCCTCACCAATCAGGGAGCCCGACGCGGGGCTCGATCCCAGGACCCCGGGATCATGACCTGAGCAGAAGGCAGACGCTTAACGACTGAGCCACCCAGGCGCCCCTCAAGGTAATTCTTGAAAGGTAAAGATGAAACAGAATTATTTAAGTCTTCAAATGCCCCAGTAAGGAAAGAGGCTGGCCTTCATTCATCAAGCATTGTGATACCACTGAAAGTTTCCAAAGGAGTAACATGATCAAAACCATACCTAAAATGATTATTCCAATAAAAGGGTTGAGGACAGATTAAAGCAAAATGATTGGCAACAGGAAGATCAACAGATTATTATGATAATCAATAGAAAAAAATAAGCATATGCTACGGAAGGTCAATTCTAAATAGAAATAGGACAAATGTCCCCAAAAGTGTATGAAATATCTGTATTAATATATTATAGTACTACATCTATTTACCAATATATAAGTGTGTGTGTATATATCTATACACGTTTGTGTTACTATTACTAAAGGAGTATTTGTATTAAAATCATTAAGTATCTTTAACTTTAAAAAATACAAATTTGAAATTTTGTTTTTTACATTTAAAAAACTTTGTAAATAAAGATAAATTATAAAGGTTAAATGTAACAGTTTTAAAATTACTCTTTTTAGATTCAAATCATGGCTCTACCACTTAGTGGCATGTGTTCAAACATCTTTTTAACCTCCGTGCATCACAGTCCCCTTGTCCATAAAACGGACAGAACAACAGTGAAGATTAAATAAAAAAACAAAGAGAACCATTAGTTATTATTAAACCATTAAAAAAGCTAAGTAAACGTTATTCCATCATATAACAGACAAAAAACTAAATAACCATAGGATACAAGGAATTAATTTAAAAACAAAACAAAACCTAACAACCCAATTTTAAAACAGGCAAAGGAAATCAGAAAGCAAATCACAAGAAATGCAAATAAAAAATACATGTTTAAAAAAAAAAAAAGATGTTCAGGGCATATGGGTGGCTCAGTCTGTTAAGTGTCTGCCTTCAGCTCAGGTCATGATCCTGGGGTTGAGAGCCCTGAGTCAGGCTCCCAGCCTGCTCTCAGTCTCCCTTTGCCCTTCCTTCCTGCTCATGCTCATGCTCTCCCTCAAAAATAAATAAATAAAATCTAAAAAAAAAAAAAAAAAAAAGTTCAAACTCATTAATAGTTAAAGTGTGTTCCCTATCCTATTCATAAAGATTATTAAAGGCTATAATATCTTACAATGATATGAAAATAAATTGTTATAGCCTTTGAGAGAAGAGAAGCAATCTGTACATATCAGTATTTAAAATATGCAAGCATAAAAACAAATATATGTAAACACATATATATTCATGAGCAGAGAAACGGTCTGGAAGAATACACCCAAAACTTAATAAACCAAGGTATACCCCTCATCATGGAAAGAGGAGAAAAGGAGAAAGATGTTTTCATATTTAACTTTATACAATGTCTTAATTTCTTTTCAAGGGACATAACCTTACCATTTGGTCAAACTATTGCAAAGATGTTTTGTTTTGTGACCCCAAAGAGTTTAAAATATCTCAAATAACACTGTTACTTAAGTATGAATAATGTATCAGGTGACTGTCTCACTTTCCAAGTCACAACTGAAACCTCTGAGACCACAGATCAACAGTCTTGGCTGCTACTTATATCTGATAATGTGCTACTTTTCCTTTGTTAGCTCAATATTTCCCAACTGCATGGAAAATCAATAATTGGTGATAAAAACCAATTCCACATCATACAGTATTTCCCTCCTACAAATCTGAAAATAATTGATATATGCTATTCAAAGAACATTACACTGAGAACAGAAGTTACTCCTAAAAGTCACTCATCTGAATTTCTCAAACTTTAACATACAAAAACAATTACCTGGGATCTGAAGCCCTTCTCCAAGAGATCCTGATTCAGTTAAAGTAGAGGTGATCAGGAAATAGGACTGTTGAGTGAGTGATTCTCTGTTCTGTTCACTACAACATCACTCCATCTGGGTCTGATTCCAGTTCTGAAGCTTTCAAGCTTAAATATCCCAGGTTCAACCATCACCAGTATCTGAGTTCTAGTGTACAAACTGATATACTGTGACTTTCAGAATTCAGTACCGCCAAAACTAAGGATTAAAGCCTAGTCTATACACACACATAAGCACATACATATTTACATATGCACATACAACAGGAAATAAGGAAGAAAAAAT